TATATATATACAAAATATATATACTTTTTTTTTCTATATAGATTAAGTGCCTATAATTGGCACTTAGTATTTTTTCATTTAAAAGATGTCAAGAGTCTTTTTAAACACTCTGACTCAAAGCAGGAAGTCAAACACTTCATTATCATTTTCTTCACAACAGGTTATCAGTCCTTTCTCCAAAAATAAATTTTACTTAAGGTTTTTGAAGGATCTTCACCGTTTAAGATTAAAGCAATCATATATAAAAGTTGTTTATTTCTAATGTTTTCCATTAATAAAGTCTTCTTGAGATAGCATAATCCAGCTAGTTTTATAAATTATTACTGACCTCCATCTTCTTCAGAATCTAGATCAGACTCTTCACTATCACACTGCCTGCTATCCCGATGTCCTTCCATCTCGTATGTCCACAGCATTAAAGAGGTGTCTGCTCCTCCAACAGTGACCAACAAACTGTCGTCATAGGTCCAACGGACATTTGTTACATGGGTACTGTGAGCAACATACCTCTTAAATTTTCCAAACTTTCCCTAAGAAGGGAGAAGAAAAGGCACAGATCGAATTTAACCAGTCTGCTAGATAAAACTGAAATGAGTTGCCAGTGCACAACAACATGTTCTTAACTTCTTTATGGTTTATGCTTCAGCTGTTTTGCATTTTGTATGTATCACATGATTTCCCAAGTTCCGCTCCTATAGCAGCTTCATGAAATGTTAACCATATTTCCACACCAAGCATGCAAGAATTTGTTTATAAACAGATTCCAGCAATAAACACTGGATCATTTTTCCTAGGAGAGAAAAGCATCTAACAGATTAAGAATAAAATGCACATAGAATATTTTGTGGATTGTTACCATCCCTAGCATGGCAAAATATTCAAAATTGAAGACGTATTTACTGACAAACATACAGGAAAATTAGAAAGGTTCTAGAAGAGCAGTAAAAACATAATGTGCTTCTGGAATAGCTTTTCTATGATGCATGATTAAATAATATTAAAGCTCTTCATCTTACACAGAAATGACTGAGGTTGCACAGAATGAAGGTCCATAAAATGAGTGAAATGAAGGTGAGGAAGAAATGTTCATTGTCTTCCAAAACAAGAGCTTAAGGGGCTAAAAACGACAATGAGGATATTAATGCCCAAGACATTATTAGACAGTGCCTGTCCCATTCCCATTCTTACAGTTTTTCCTATCCATTTGCCATTGTCAGTGATAGGACACTACAAGAGATGGCTCTTTAGTCTGATCTGGTCATTCTTACTAACTGAAAGTTTAATGCATTGCAAATTGCAGTGTAATATTGAATGCTTTCTTTGATCATAAGGACAAAAGTATAAAAGCACTATTTTGTTCTGAGTGATGAATTTTTACAGTTTTGAAAAGTCAGTTTTATTAATCAATCTTCTCCATGAACAGCTGAAAATTACTTACTTTAGCAGGGTATCGAAACAGTTTCACAAATCCAAAATCATCTCCTGTGGCTAATACTTTACTATCACTAGTGAGGCATGAAGCAGTTACATCTGTGACTTCACCAATTATTGGCCAGATTCCTTCACAGCAAGAGCCCAAAACACTTGTCCATGATGCCCAGCCAATCTTTTCTACCTACAAAAACAACCTGTTTGAGACAGAGCATGCTTCTTCCCAGGCAGTTTTCTTCCATATCTGATTTCAAGAGAAAGTCCTTGCACTGAAAGATATGTTACATCTAAAAGATAACATTTTAACATACTAACTACGTACTTTCTGACTATTCAAGATTTCATTTGAGACCCTTAATTTTACGTCTATTAACTTCCAGTTGCAAAACCTGTATGAGTATTTAAAAAATTTTGATCTTACCTGCCCTTCCAGGCTAGAGAAAACAAGTTACATTTTTCAACACTGCCTTTCAATCTCGTAGAAAATATTATTTGAAAATTATCCATTTTCACTCTCTGCCCTATGACAATGCTCTATGTCTGAGAAAACAAATCAGTATTATAGCTACAATACACTACACGTGCCTATGTATATTATGTATACTATATTGCATCGTTATGTAAAGATAGACGTGAGGTCTTCCACAGCAAGGTTAGGGCTAAGTAATCTGCTATAGGTTTTCAAAGGTGTTTAGGTACCAAAAGAGGCATACAGAAGTCCAGTGAGATTTTCATGAGTGCGTAAGTCAGCCAAATGTCCATTTCTTAACAGAAGAGACAAATGTGATATCCCCTATATATTTTATCATTCTGATTACATTATCTAATTGAACAGGCTGCAAAAAAGGTTGAAGAAGCCTAAACAGAAGCTTTTTCAACAGACCAGTTAAAATTATAGTTTTATACATCATTTCCTTTTATGTGGCATAGACGGTTGTATAATAACTTTAATTTGCAAACAAGTTAAGAAGGCAGTCTATTTCCTCACCTCCAAACTAGGAATTGTCTGTTTTTTTCCACGAGGAGCTTCAAAAAACAACTGCTCTTTAGCACCAGTGTTGACTTGCAAGAGCTTCCCTATAAAACACATTACATATTGTATATTAAGGTTATTTTGAAATTTTTGTTGCTAACAGCATTACACAAATTGTTTCCATTGGAAAAAGTTGCATACATAAACAGTGGATCTGGAAGTATGGGCTTCTGAAGATCTGAGTCCTTTGACCCCTTAAATTCACAGTCCTTCCTCCTCTCTTTGAAAACTGTAATAATGCATCACCTTACTCTCCGGTTTATGGGTGTCCCATCAGATGGTAGACAAAACGTACTGGGTCTAATTCAGAGCTTGTTTGTGACAACTGGCTGACCAGTACGCTTGTGCTCTTGGGATTGAGAAGCACATATGCTGCCGGGCCAACGGCTGCTTCTAAGCAGCTGACTTCTGCTCGCCTTTATACTACTACTTTTCTGAGGGGAATTCTCATTGATGTCTCTGTCCTCTTCCTGTTTTCAAAATTCTCAGAG